CCCCCCTCTCCTTCCCTCCGCCGGTCCCACTCTCTATCGTTTTTCCCGATTTTTTTACGCTGATTTATACGATGCCCTCCTTTCAACAGTCCGGTGAATATTTGTACTCACCTGAAAAAAGTGGCTGGCCCCTACTTTTAAGATTTTTGAGGTGCGGAACTGAGAAAATGAATTAATTTCTATTTAGGAAACACTCATGAACCGTTAGTATGTTGACTGGTTTTCTTCAGGCACCGGCATTTGTGTAACTCAATATCAAGCAGTTCCGACCATGCCGCATTGGAAACATGCATACATTATGCAACAAATCTTTCTTGTACCAACTTTTATCAGGTTTATTTTTTTTTTATAGCTAAGCAGCACACATCACTTGGTATACCTGATTTGTCATGAATGAACTCCTTTTTGAGAATGGTCATGGAGTAGAATGGTCATGGAGTGGGGAAGGAGTCGAACCACTTTCCTTTATATTCAGTCGCGACTTGCTGCCCACTACATCACCGGCTCTTGTGCTCCAGGATCAGCCTAACAGCACATCTACTGTGTATCTGCCTTTCAAGGAGGGGAATACACCTTTTCTTGCTGCCTCCCATAGGCAGTATGCATCTTTTTCTTTGTGGTGGCTTCTTTGCCGGCTTTTCGCGGTTTTTTCTCGATCTTTTTATGTGAAAAACTGTTTTAAACTTAAGTATCAGCAGTATTCTTAAGAACCAGTAAAAAATACATTTTTAGATAAGTGGCATTTTAGTTTTAATTGATTAATCAGTTCAGCTAGCTAGCTATGCCGTACTCTTCAATTTCCTAGAGTTGGAGTTGTTCAGCAATAGCATTTTATGCATTTGAATTGTGTATTTGCTCTTTCGTTGTGTCTCATATACTAAGGGGGCATTGCGTAATGTTCTGCTGATCATAGGGGAGGGAGGGGGGAGGGAAAGTACCAACTCCCTGTCTGTCTTCTATTCGTCGATTACGAAAATGCACTGGTAACCGAAGAGCTGAATGGTGTGTTACGAAGTTCTGTAGATTGAAGGATTGGTTGGAAAAGCGTGGGAATCCATTT